GAATTCTTGGAGTTGAAGTCCACTCATCTTAAAGTGGCCAAGTTTGGACAACACTGGATTACAGTATCTGGACAGCAGCGATGCATGTTCTGGCTGGCCTGAGATGAGCGAGAGCGCTCCCACTTCTCTAACTTACGTGTGACAGCCTTTTTTCCTTGTACGGAGCATCCAGGCTTGATTTTCTACCCGAAATCTTAGTCTGGAGACACTTTGAATAGTCATTCAAGTTGGACTTTTAAACGGGTGTAGAAGGTGTATCCTGCACCCAGTGAATGTGCTGCGCCTCTAATTGCCACTTCACTTGCCTGCAAATATTCCATACTCTGTGAGTTATCCCTGTTCCTTTCCAGATTTGTCCCTTTAATTCTCCTCAGTCTTAAACTTTATTGTTCACCCCACCCAAAAACAAACCAACCACAGGCAAATGATTAGATCTTCTCACTTAAGGCTAATATAGACTAAGGATTTGTAATTTTGCAGTTAACATTCTCAATACTTTCAGGGAAACACTGAAAATGCTAGGACTGGAAGCAACAAACTTCATACCTCCTCCCCAGAAAATGCAGGAGAAAGAAGATCGGGCATTCGTGGCTTGGAATGGCACAAACAGAAGGTTCACATTTAAAAGCAAAGGCGTTGGCTGGAGTTCTTGCACGGGCTCCTTAACCCTTTCCTTAGTCCGAGCTCAGAGAGGTTTCGTCCTCGGGGGCTCGCTTCTAGCCCGGGTTGTTGCTGCAGAGAGCTGAGGCCCTGCGGCATCGGGCTCCCGGGTCACACAGCAGCCAACCAGGCACACTTTTAGGGAGATGCCCACCATGGAGAAGAGGCCTGATTCTCTATGAAAGGGTCTTATTCTCTTTTAAAATGAACCAGATTGCTAATGACCAGCCCCCATGTCGGTCAGCAAAGTCTGCCGGCTAACCATGCCGTTCTATAAAGAAATACCTCCTTTTGTGGGTCCTGGATCTTCCTGCATTGAGTTTTAATGGATTATCCATTCTGATTTTTTAAACAAAAAAAGGGGGGGGGACTTCTCTTGCATAAATATTAAAAACCTCAGTCAAGTTTTTTATGAACTACCTTTGTTCCAAACTAAAAAGAGAGTACTGACCCTTTTTGGAGGGGGACCTTTTCTAAATGCCTCAGCAGTTTAGTTGCCCTTCACTGCAGCTTTTCCCAGTCTATAAAATTATTTTCCAGGAAGGCAGAAGCAAAGACGCCATCCAGTTTCTCTGCCCTTTCCCCGTATTTCTTTGAGGACCCTCCTGTCCAATGACCCCAGAGCCTCCTGGGTCAATTTTCTGTTTTGAGAAAGAAAAAAAGAAGCTTTTGTTCTTTTCCTCGGTATTCCTTGTGGTATGATTCTCGAAGGGCCTCTTCCCCCGCCATCAATCGCCTGCGTTTCTTTTTTCCAAAGTTGGCGCTTCTCTACGTTCTCTTCCTTCCAACGTTCTGAAGGGCCTTAACAGTGTTGCCTTTCCCATTCGTTTTTGATTTTGCTGATCCCCTCTTTTTGGGGAAACTTGAGCCTTTAAAATGAAACGTGACTTTGCGGACTCCTTTGGCAAATTTTATTTATTTATTTATTTGTTTGTTTGTTCGTTCGTTTGACTTTGCGGACTCCTTTGGCAAATTTTATTTATTTATTTATTTGTTTGTTTGTTCGTTCGTTTGACTTTGCGGACTCCTTTGGCAAATTTTATTTATTTATTTATTTGTTTGTTTGTTTGTTCGTTCGTTCAATTTGTGCAGCTGCCCACCTCGAATATATGGACCGCTCACAACAATTAAGGAACCCTTGAGGAGCTCCTAACAGCCAGAATTTAGAGTATTTCTGTATTTTGTTCTATTGTTACAACTCAGTGCTGGAAAGATTCCTTTTCATGTTGTGAGAGAAGTAACAGAATATATATATTTTTTCCTTTAAGAATGCTTGTGAAATATAAAATGATCTCTCTGGTCTGCACACTGGACCTCTGCATATTAGCAGCTAATGCCTTAATGTAACACCAGCTCTGGCAAATAATTGTCCTTGTCCCAGCTAACCATTCTATTACTTTTGTTGGTGCAACTAATGTAAGAGAAGCATTCGGGGGTAGTGATTTCTTTCCTTCCTTCCTTCCTTCCTTCCATCCATCTGCCTGCCTGCCTGCCTGCCTTCCATCTTCCTCCCTCCCTCCCTCCCTCCCTCCC